AGTCGCGCCCGGAGCCTTGAGAGGGACCTAAGAAAGGAGGGGAAGTCGCTTCGGGCTGCCGCGGCTGAACTCAGTGGGCGCCAAGGAGCTGATAACGGGCTCCGGCCAGCATCATTTTCTCTGTCACTCCCACAACTTTCTCTCTTCATATAAACCGTTCCTCCTCACACCATCCATACCACGGCAGTTAGTGTAGGCTACTCATTGGAAATAGACCATCTGCTTGATTATGCTGCCTCATTTGTGATTTATTGAATACCACGTATTACCGAACTGTCACAGAATTTACAATTTCTGCAACTCATATGAATAGGTGCCATAGTCCAAATCACTATGAATATATATATGCCCTTTAGTCACTTTTTAGTGACAGAAATACAATTTTAGTATTCTGGGGAAAAAATTGGTAGCAACTGATCTGAAATTACGACAAAAAATGGTGAATCAGATGCAGATCACACAATAGGAAGGTTAATGTAAGTGCATTTCTACTCCAAGGGCAATTGCTTTAGAAACCTCAAAAAAGAGGACCATATGTTAAAATGCATTGCCTGCTGCTTTGGCAGATAACAGAGCTAAGTGTGTGTCATTTATGCCCTAAGTTTATGACCAAAAATGGGTATGATGGTGATTAAACAGGTGTACACACACAGAGACATGAAGCAGAATAGGCTTCAAAATCCGATCTTAACTAACTTGCAAATTACTTCAATTTTTAACTCTGCAAAATTTAAAAAGTAAATTTAAAATTAGCTTTATTTTTCAGCATCAGTATTCATGAGGACTCGGAATTCCTAATTCTCACTTTAGATGAAAGTTTCCAATTTGTATTCCACTGCAGAAGAAAAACGTAACACACGTAATACCTGCATTTTATCACAGTTTAAACATAATCATTCTGTATATTATAGAGAACTGGTGATCTCAGACAAGGCTTAATATTTATTATTTTCTCCCTATATATTTGAAGCTTTTTAAACAAATTCTCAGCTAGTATTTTCAGTGAGGTGGTTTCAGATTCAACTGTTTGTAGCGCCTGAATGGAAGCCCACTAAAGTAAAAAATTTCAATGGCAATAAAAACCAAGAAACAAAATTGTATGTGTAACTGACCTGATGGTTTATTTGCTTGAAAATTTGAAATTATCTTTAAATGAGAAATGCCATGGAGAAGCTTGTGTGGAGAGGCCAAATCAGTTTTAACTAATACGGACATTATGTCATAAAGAAAGGGTCATTCATTTTAATTTTCTTTTGAAAATGTTTGCCTTGAGGGGAAAGTCTGTACTTCTAGAATGTAACTATTCCTGTAGAATGTGAATGTATGAATAGAAGCTATATTTCTTGTCAATAAGAAGTGTGAATTTCCCTCTGAACAATAATGTGTAACCAGACTTTTTATACATTGCTCTCTGAGAGCTTGTTCTTTTTATGCTTTTACTCCTTATCTGTCTCTCACTCCTGAATTACCTGGATGTGCTCCCTTCTCCTCCTCCAAGCCTGGCTTTATTCTTCACTCAAGGAATCTTGACCAGCCTTCTAAATAATGTCCTCCAGATTTCTTTTCTTAATCAGAATGTTTCTTGATACCTATCATCTTCCACATCTGCAGCTATCTTCTAACCTCGATGGTGCGGAAGCTATCTTCCATCCTCTATAGAATATAAAAACCAGATGCTAACCAGACACAAGTCCTTTCATTGTCCTCAACTGGTATGATCCAGGACACCACAAATGATGATGTTGTCACACGCGTGCTGCTCACCCATTCACAGGAGCTGCTGCTATCACTAGTAAAAATTCAGCTGAGGTGATCTTGTGCTGCCAGCAGAACTTTGGCTAATGGTAAAGCACTTAAGAAATTAGGTAACGCTGACAACTGGTAGTGCTGAAAGGGCTGAAAGGCATTAGGTTGGAGATGAATTGCTAGTGACTTGCTGTAATACTTATCTACAAACCAGTCTTATTTAATATTTTCCATAACAACTTAAATGCAGAAAGTAAGAATGAATGAGTGTAGTGTGCTGGTAATGCAAAGGAGAACACGAGCATCACTACAGAGGAAGATCGGCATAACACAGAAGTTTTTGATGACCTGAATAATAGAAACGAGAAGCAGTGCAACAGTACAAAATGCAATAGCTTAGGAAATAATAGAAGTTCCTATTAAAAGCTCCTTTTAACAGAAGCACAGCTGTTGGAAATGTCTAAGGAGATAAAAGACTTGGTCATATTATCTGACCTCATTTTTTAATGAGATACTAGATTTTTTCAGCCATGAAAGACAAACAAAATCAAAAAATGTGTAAGAGAGCTACTTCCTGTAGCTAATGGTCAGCATTAAGGTAGTTAGGTACTGAGGCTTCTGGTCCAAACTGTACTATGCTGTGCTATCTTGACATCACATCAGGCACAGAGGAGGGCCACTCTGATGAGTTGGGGAATACAAGGCTATTACAAGAAAGCAGAATAGATGAGAGTCTAATAGCTCTGGGCATAACCCTTCAGTGAAGTATTTATGGGATTTCCAAGGGAAATGGTTTATGTCCAGAAGGCACTGTGATCTTGCATTTGTTTGCTAATGACCGAGTAAGCACACCCTAAAAATCTAAGCTGAGAAGGGCTGTGATTGCTCTCAAAAAATACATGAGTTGCTTAAATATTGCAAGTGGAAAGGTATCATTTGTAGTGAAGGAAGTTATATACAAACCATTAATAAATTCGTAGTTAGAAATACATTAGGCTTGAAATTAGAAGAAGGTGAATAACCATTGATAGTTTGGAAGACTTGCCCAAAGAAGAAACACAGTGGTGGCGGTAGTGAGATCTTGATATTAAGATTGAACATGATCGATTTTTAAGAGCATTATAATGGTTGGCTTCCTGAGCTAGGAAAAATCTATGACAAAGTACCACATATTTGTATAAAAGGTCCCTTACAGTCTCATGTGAAAGGTAGTGACACAACATGGTGATGATCCTTGAAATGAAGGCGTAGGCAGAATCTATCTACGGATTCTGTGGCATTGATCGTTTTAGTGAAAGTGAGATACAACTTATATGAATATGGAATAGATTTTTGGTTTAGTTTGGTTTTAAATATAAGTAAATGTATTGTTTGGCTTTGGACTGCTGGTATTCCAGGAAAGCTAAAAGCCATGTGAGACTCTGTTTTGCCTGAAGACTTAACTGATTTCTGTACATATCTCATCTTTGAGCTGTGATTGCTGCAACATTTTCAAGGCACCAGATCTTTCTTGTGATTCTGTACAGCACAAACCAGAAAAGTTTGTGGCTGTTTTCTCTTTGTACAGCAATCTTTACCCTGTTCACCAAATCACAGGTCTTGCAAGTCTGCTGAGCTCTCAAAGGTCAATTAAATTAGTACAGAAAATCCTAAGACTTTCAGTCAGAATACTTTCTTTTGGTATATGCATTCTCAAGAGCTTGTATCACAAACTGGTCAAGCTCAATTCCCTCATGTCAGTAAAAATATTCTTAATTTAACCAAGAATAATCAAGACTAAATCTTGTCAATTAATCATAACTGCCATTGACCTGAATACTTAGCTGCTACTTAAATAAATATTATTTGAAAATAAATACCCAAAATCTTCTTCCAAAGTACACAGAGGTGACTAATAGTGATTATGAAAATCATACTGATTTTGAAAGAAGAATATTGCAGCAGGTTTGTTTACTGAAAGGGGTGCAGATTAGTCGGCCTGTCTACCAGTGAACTGAGATTAATGAATCGTTTCATTCACTTCAATAAGCTTGATCATGCTTTAAAAAGGTAGTGAGTATCCATTTTAACATAATGTTGCTGTTACCTGAAGACTCCTCACAGTCTCTCTAGATCACTTTGCTGTGTTTTTATCTAAGTTGTTTGTTTGGGTTTTGTTTGTTTGTTTTTCAAAATTCATTGATATATCTAAATTCTGTATGCTGAATTGAAATGTCCATGATTTGTGATGAAATAATAAACACATGTTTCTGGTTTATTCCCAGATTCAGAAGAGGAAATGAAAGCGTTAGAAGCAGATTTATTGACCAATATGTACACATCAAAGGTAATTATTTTTCCTCTTTTAGGTGACGGGTAGGGAGCAAATGAATTCTCATTACAAACCCAGAAGTCTTTGCACAAAGTAATAACCTATGGTCTAGACCGAAAAGTTCAGTGCCAGACATTACTTTGGTGCAAGATTTTCTCCAGTTCAAAGGAAATTTAAAGGTGTTGATGTGACACACTAAAAGTGCTCCTCACTTGTAACACTGGTACTTTCATTAAACTGTCAAAACTGTGTTATGGGCAGAGATGTAAATTTATATGAGGAAATGTGTTTCCAATAGGATTATGCCTGATGAAAGCTAAATTAACCTTGAGTCAAATCCGTAAGTGCTTTTTTTTATGCAGAACTTTTCCTATATGCATATAAAATTAAGACAGTCATAAAGCAAAAACTGTAAATACATATGCTGCTTTTTGTTTAGGAACTTAATCATAGTGTTAGTACAGGAACATGGGGACATGACTGTGAAAATATTAACCTGATAAGTGACATTTCCTTGACAAGTTGCCAGACTGTGAGCGATGTACATGTTATTTAATACACAATAGACAAAAATTCAGTTCCAAGCTCATATTGACAAGGTGAAGCAGCAAGTGTTGCACATATCTATTGAACAGGCTGATAGACAAACACATTCTCAACACTGTTATTTTCCACGAATGATCTAAGAAACATACACATCTAATATTTCTTCAGCAACTTATTAAAGAACAAACCCTGAAACAAGTGCCGTGGGCTTAAGATTGAATGTTCTAATTCTTTGTTTTAATGAAGTTCAAGTGGTGCTTAAATTCAATGGAAAATAAAATGAGAAATGAAAAATTTACCCAAAAAAAGAATTTCATAAGCCAATGACTAGTTGAAGATTAAGGACAAAACTTGCCTGGAAGACTTCTGTATTTACTGTATTTACTTATATGTGAGCTTTTTCACGGGATCCTTTGAGTAGACTAGAATAAGACATGAGGCCAGAAAATAAATTGTTTTTATCTGGTCTGGCAGTTCTTAGGTTCCCATGTTCTTTACTGGCATGGTAATTAACCTTAGATGCCAAATAAACCTGTTTGCCACTCGCTTCTCTAAGGTACAGAAAGATTTAATAGATATTCTTTTCCTGAGACAAATTTAAATGTAGGAGGCTGACAAAAATAGTTCCTTCTCTGTGTGGCAAAGCATAGTATGCCCTGTGAGGAAACACTGCAGCTATTGGTATTTCTGCTACTGACTTTAGTGGAACTGTGAACCTAACTTCCATTTCCATCTTTTCCTCCCTCTCAGCACAGAGCACAATCTCAGGTAACTAAAAATGCACGAATATAGTGCACCAGTTGATAATGTAATGATGTTTGCCATAATACTCTTCTATGTTGTTTTACATCATGTAGCTTGCTATTCAATTTCCTTATGGTATACACCATAAGTCAAGTGACACCTGAAGTTGACAGAAGCAGTAAATGCATGGTGGAGACATTGCTTTAATTCGACATTATACTGCCTTAAATCACCATCTAAAATTCATTAGTTCAATATATATTGTCTCTTGACATCAAAGGAAGGCATGGTGGAATCACTAAAAAGTGTGCATAAATGCTTCTACAGAGGCATACCACTATTCCATTCATTACTGAAATGACGAATTCTTTTTTTTTTTTTTTTTTCCTGTTGTTCTCTGCTAGCTTTTAACCCTCATTAGAACAAAAGTATGGTTCTGGTGTGAGAGACAAATTTTGAGGATGGTATGTGTAATAACTGTCTTGTATTGTGCCTGAGATCTGGTTCCAGCTGAGGGCAATTACTGTTAAATAGCATTAACTGTCTTTGACACTGACTTGGTAATAAGCAGCAAGGGAAATCCAGACAATTTAAATAGCATTAGGATGGGGAAAAGAAAGAAAAAAAAAAAAGAAAAAAGTTGTTTATGAAAGCTCAGATCTAAAAATGCAGCAAAGGAGATTATCACTTGTGGTTCTAGTATTTGGCAGAAAAAATCTTCCTAAGTAGGCACTTGTGAAGTATCATATCAAGACTACAGCTAGGGTTTAAGCACACACTTTTTGCAACATTCAGTAATCTATCCAATATTATGGAAAGAGTTACCATATGCTTTTGACTTCACCGACTGCTGTCCAGGGTGTACTGGCCCTTTTCAAACTGCTCTTTAAAGTCATCTATGTGCTGAATCACTCTCCGTCTTTAAAGAAGTATGTCCATACTTACTACAACCTGTCTTCAACATTTAATACAGTTTATCACCCTTCCCTGCTGTTACATCTCAAAGAAGATACAGGGATCAAACAAGTCCCTAAAATGCTTTATCTGTCTTTCCTCTAAGGTAAAATCCAAAGAGCCATTTGGAAGATCTGGTAAGACAACACAACCTGACGTGTCACAAATACGCAGACAGTTATCTGCTGTCTCTCTTTTGTATCAAACAGATAGCTCTATTCCCAGCTTCCTAAATGCTTGCCTGAAACTACCACTTGCATGAAGAATGTCCTGAACTCAAATGAGATTGAGATGATGTTAGTTAAAGAAAAAAAAAAACAGAAAAAAAGAAGTGTTTCCTTGAAGAATATATCATCACTAGAATATACTCCACCTTTGGGATTCCCCCTCACATTAATTTTCTGAAGTTTTGGACCCTCTGACCTTCTTACTGTTCCAGGATGCCTGTTGCTGACTGTGTGTGCCCAGACAGTTTAGCTTCCTTGTCTGAGGCAGATGAGGTTATAACTGCCTAGGAGTTGCTGACTTCCTGACTCAGTCATCACATAAAAGTTCATTTCATTTACAGGCATTGGTATACACCATGGAAGAACTTCCACTGTAACAGAACTCAATACCATATCTGCATAAAGACAGAGAGTGTTTTTATTATTTCTATAGTTACATTCTGAACAAAATTCAACTACTATTCTGAAAAGGAACCGTAGAGATCCTACATTACCTTGGGTTTTACTTGGTTATGAATTTGTTTTTCATCTGCTTTCACTAGATAAAGACAAGAATATAAAAAGCAGAGAATTGAACTTTCTTTTTCTAAAAAAAAATAGCATTTGGGAGGTATGCGTTATAACGTAAGAAGTATCTTAAAACAAACTATCAGGGGTATCATTCAACCAGAAATGAAAAGAAAAAGATACTGTGTAAGTTATAACTTGGGATTCTCTTTAATCTTTCATAGGACAAGCCTGTTGTCAAAGAAGGAAATATTCTCAAGTTCATTTCAGTTTCTTAGATGATTTAAAACTCTCTTTCAAGATATGTGAGGTGTGGGAAACCATATATCCGAGTCTTATCTCAGAAACGTGTTCAACAATGGAAATGCATACATCATATTCACTTCAGCATTAATAACTTTTAAATTCTGATTCAATCTGCAGTCTCTTTTGCTCCTTCAGATCACTCTCTGGTATTTTTCAAGATAATCTTAAAAAAATTACTTCCATCTTGGCAGATATGGCTTCCTTGATATCATGTGTAGGTGTTTTCCAAAACATGTCTTGAGCAATTGTAGTTGGTATTGCTTAGACCTGTGTGGAAAACATATCACACATTGGAGATGTACCTGAACATGTGGGTTGTGGTCATCTTAAACTGTGTTTTCACATATTCTTTTAGGATAACCGCCTCAGAGATTTCCCATAACTTAAAAAACAAAGCTGTATAATTGTAATGCTTGCTGTAATAGTGGAGTAGAAAAGTAACATGACTGCTCTGTTCAGTGGCTGGACATGACCTGGAGAGCTCCCTGTTCAGCTGAAAAAAAAATTTCACTATTGACTGAAGTTCTTAATGCTTTATAATCTCATTCTGTGAGCTGGCAGCAGTGTAAGAAGTCAGAAGCAGGTGTACCCAAGTAAAAATACTTTGAGGTGATCTATGCGTGGTATTAATGGGAATTAGACTCCCTTAACAAACGAAGTATGCTTGCAGACAGCGTGGCAAATTTTTTTCCCCTAACCTCATAAGTAGCAGCTAAGACCAATTTCACCTAATGAAGTCTGCTATTTAAGTATTTTACTAATATACAGAAGAAAGTTCCTTTAAACATAGACATGCATCAGGCTAAAGTAATAACTTTAGATCAAAAAGATTATATAAATTATGCAAGAAGGCATAACAAATTTCCCTATCCTTTCTTTTTCTCTTCTGCTCCCATCCACTGGAATATTTTTGGGTTTTTTTTAACTCAGAACTCTCACTTGCTCATGTAGCACTGCCCCTAGATTTTAGTCTTCATTGCAATTTAGCTATTGTAGTGCTAGCTCACATTTCTTTCGTATATCCAGGAGAGAGAATTGCACTGAAAAACCTCCTCATTTGTCATGGAAAGCTCCATATTTTTATGTTTCACAAATATTTTAAAACAGACCAAAGAAGATTTTGAAATTGCTTTGGACACTTGCTCTTTTTGCTAGTTTAACTTCTGTTAATTAAATTAGACATTCTGCAAAAAGTTTAATTTTTGTTTTGAACCTGTCACATCTTTTCAAATAATTCGACAGACTAATTAGGGCACCTAGACAGGACAACAGATGAGCTCAAAGTAAACAATGCAGAACCAATTTCAAGCTTTTGAATAAGATTTGAGATTTGTTTTCTTCTTAGCCTCAAAACAAAATACTCTTTCTTTTTTTTTTTCTAAGCCCTGTCAGGAATCTGAGAACACGTAGCGGTTTTATTAAAGGGCTAAATTATTCTCATTTTGAAAGGCATGCATATATCAGATGTATATTGGAGTAATGATTATGGCCAAAAGGGAATTTTTTGTAACTAATGCTAATAGTGATGCCAGCTTTTCTTGTTTCTTCCTCACTCCTCTCCATTTTCTTTCTTTTCTCTCAAAAAGTAGTAAAGTGTGGTGAATATGCATAAATCTTGCATACAATACCGCTTTGTTAGGAAGGTGCTTTAAAGAAACAAGAGATTATGTGATCACCTAATGTTCAGCTAAGTAAGCACTGCATCCACACTCTTAATTAATGCTGTCAGTATGTAAAAGGCAGTGTCTTGTTAATGTAATACCTATATTTAACTTTGTACATCCAGGGAAAGAAGCAACTACATTTCAGCTTATAGGTAAAGTGTAATCCTAATGTGCACAGCAAAGAAGCCCTTGCCAGTAATAAATAGGAATTTGCTATTTGGCTTTTGATTGGAGATTGCTATGTCACCAGTTCTAGTTTAAGGAAACTAATTTCTATACTCACCACTAAAAGGAATACAATTTGAAAGAAATAATTAATAGTGGGAGAACCAAGAAAGCATCAAAGACATTAAAAGCAGTGAATGAGGTAGGAATTAGGTTTTTTACTTACTTATTTTTTCTATTGATAATCAAAACTAAAGAAGACTACTGCCACAACTGCTTGGAAAGAACAGTACCAGTAGAAAAGTAAAAATTATTTTTCTCAACATTTTTTAAAAGGGTTTAAAAATTAAATAGCTCCTAAATAATGCAAGATACTGGAGCAAGCAAAATTTGAGACAAACCATGGTGAAATTACTCTATTTCTGTCGTTTTGTAACATCTCTGAACAGGTCCATTATGGACCACAAAATACAGTTGGTCTGAATTTTTCAGTCCAGTTACCAAATCAGGAATACATTGTTTGCACAGCTCTGTTTCATCTTTGCTCCATCTTCATCAAGCCCGTAGACCTTCGATTCACATCTCCCAGGCTCATGACTCTCCAGCATCCAAAACTCCTGGGGCTTACAGATTCCATAACTTCAGACCCAGCCTCATCAGACAGCTTGCCCTGAAGCAGGGACTCAATTTCTTTTCTCAGGGAATTTTGAAATGACTGGTATTTGTTCTGAACTGGGGAGGAGCGTCTAGTTAACCACAGGCATCCACCTTGGATACCAGTGCTGGGAATTTATCTAGTGGGTTTGACTCATTGTCCTGATTTACACCTGTGAATTTATATTATATTAATTTCCATCTGTGTTTTTGTTTGCACCTGTGCAGAATGACTATGAAATGCTACCATTCTGGTTTGGTAGCAGTTTAGTTTTTCATCGTGTATATCTACCTGGGGGGTAAGGCTGTGGGGAAGCAGACTTGGTGTGTTTAATGAGTGAGTTGTCCTAATTTCAGCACTCTCTAATTATTGTCTAAAAGTTGAGCAGATGAAAAGTACTTCAAACACACAAACTTATTCCTACCAAAATGTTTGAATGTCACACATTATTACTAAAAAACAAAACAAAAATTGCAACACGTTAAATAGTGGGTATTTGTATTTTCAGATTAACAGAGCAAAACTTCCTTACTGGAAAATGACCCTTCTAAATGTCTGCAATCTTGTCAACAACATAAACAACCAAATGGGGGAAACAGTAGATGAAGAGGATCTTGTTTCAGGAAGACAGTTTCCTGCTGCTCTGGATGGCTTCAGCTTGGAAGCAATGCTGACAGTGTATCAGCTCCAAAAAGTTTGCCACAGCAGAGCCTTTCAGCATTGGGAGGTAAAACAAACTGTCAGAAATGCATCTTTCAACTGCTGTTAAACTCTCAGTCATGTTTGTAGTGATGTTTCAAAATCCATATCCATGTGACCCCCGTCACATTGTCTGAGCTTTCCTTCCCTTTTTTATATTCTCTAATACCTCTAATATGCCTCTTATTGAAAAGAGTTGTGAATTAATGTAGTTTCTGACAAGCTGAGTGTCTGGTTTTTATAACCAGATAAATGAGTACTGTTCTTAACCACATACGTTCTCCACTCTTTGTAGCCATTTCAAGGAAACAGACAAACACATGAAAGTGAGCTTTATGCCAAAACACAGAATTGATACCTGCTTAACAGACGTGAAGTTACTGAGATTTATTGAGGCATAACTAAACGTAGGCAGAGTTTCTGAAAACCCTTTTACGGCCCTAAGGCAAACTGGATTCAAAATGCATGGACATGTGCCCATGTCTACATGTAATTTTACCAGGTACTCTGGACTTCTTATCATTGCTAGGAAACGGTTAGCAAGGGAACTCTTGCTTTTCGCTTCCCCACACCTGAAGAGGGCCCTGGAAGTTGACACTGCGATTGTATGAGGATTGCTGCTCTTAAATAGTGATTGTTTATAGTCCATATTTATCTTAGTGCAGTGATCACACAGAGGCACAAGGGGCATAATCCACTTGCGTTGTTATATACTACACTAAAAGCTGCTTTGCGTAGCAAAAAAAGATATCTCAGTGTCACTACCCACTTCCCGGTAAACCCAATTTCTTCAGCTATCACAGGTTCATGGACAGTCTGGCTGAATCTTGATCCTCTTTTCTTTGCTGAATCACAGCTCTGTATTTGCAGGCTTATTCTCTGTCCTTCATATTAGCTGGGACGGTCCGTACAAAAGACTGCAACGTCTTTGAGAACCAGAGTTTTCTGAGGACTCAGAAAAATAAATAAATTCTATTTCATCAGTAGATTTATTGCTGAAAAGGAGCTACCATAGAACTGACTATATGCAATAGACCATATGACTTAATCACAGTTTCTTACTTTGCAGTTGCATCACGTCTTGTGGTGGTTGGGAATCATCATTCCTAACAGTACTGCATGTGAAATTGAAAAAAAAAAATTCCTCTCTCAGCTTAGGAACACGCTTATGCAGTGCAGAGGTTTATAAGACACAATAAAAGAAGAAGGGGTACAGCCAGAGGGAGAAGGATTGAAGAAGGCTTGAAATAAACAATTTATGTAATGAAAGAAGTTCTTGTGATCTTATTCATCCAGGATCGACTCCAAAGTCTGTTGAAACCATGAGAGTCTTTCCATTCATTTCAATAGAATTTAGATGAGCACTCATTTATTAAGTAATTAAGTGAGTAACAGAGTTTGATTGCTTAGGGAAATACTGAGGTGAGTATAAAGATGTTTTCAGTTTAATGCCTTTCAGCCAGACAGTAGGACTGTACTTGACTACGGAAGAACGTGGTGGGAGAATGGGTGAAATCTTAACAGATAAAGCAAGAACCAATCTGAACAAAACATTTTAAAAACTCCAAGTAAAACTCAAAACACAGTTATATAAGAAATTTTGATTGTCAAAATTTTGGCTTTCTTGTGCTTTATTTAATTTCTTATTTATTTATTACACATTTTGATTTTTCAGCTGTAGGAAGTTGCAGAAAAAAATATTGCTGAAAAGCTGAAACCAGCAAGCAGTGGGTGTTTTAGGAGGTGTTTAGCCTAAATGAGTGATTACAGAGTGACAATCATTAGGAAGTTTTCAGTCAATTTGAATTTACATACCAGCTTTTCTCTAAACAAAACCAATGATCTCATTTGTTTCAGTGGAATTTAAATATCACCTCTGTAGGGTTCAGCTCATCTTCGGCCTGATCTTAGTTTTGTGTCTGGAGTTTTGGGCTTTTTCTTTTTTTTCTTCCTTTTTTTTTTAAAAAAAAAAAAAACCACAACTATTGTGGTAAAGATTTTTCTTGGTGGCAGATGTTAAAATAAAGTTTTATAAAACTTTCTAGGAATTTATAATCTTCATTACCAAAAAAAGCTGATAACATTGTGTCTCTTCTTGCATCCTACAGTTACTTCAGCAAGATGCTTTTGATCTAGAGAACTCAAGCCAAGACAAGGAAATAATGAAAAGAAAAAATCCGTATATTCTGAAACGGCAGCTACATGTGAACAAAGCTAGAAGACCATACATACTCAAGAGAAGTTCGTATTACTGATGCAGCAGAAGAAAACAATGTATATTTAGTTTATAGGTAACTGTGCGTTATGGTTATCTTATTTAAGTCTAAAATCATACTTGTGTGAAAATATACTATGGAAAATCATCAAGGTGATCACATAACTGTGTCTTTTTTGCAATTGCTGTTTCTTGATTGTGATTTTTTCCTACTTGAGATTAATTGGACCAATACATTTGCAAATAAATCTAGTTTCTAAGCATGATGTATTGTACAAAACTCAGATTTCAACATATTTCCAATAATATTGTAGTCTTTTCCTGTTTTATAAAGCACACCGACATACACCAAGTAAATTGATATTGTCCATAAACCCTACTGAGAATCTTACAATTTCTTAATGCAACACCTCAAACATTTATGTGCTTGCAAATTTTTGTGTAATACACTAGTCAGAACTGCCACAATATTTTATATATTGGCCAGTTTAATTTATTAGGGATTAGGTCTAAGGAAGGAAAGGAATACTATCAGCTAACTATTAAATGGCAGTTTCAAAATTCATATTTTAAATAGCTTGCTTGTAAATGAATTTTAAGTTCTTGACTCCTAACTTGCCACTGAAGAGTCATAATTTAAGAAAACAAAACATAAATGAGACTTTAACAAAGTATGCTAATGAGAACAAACCCAGATTGCTTGAGAGTCTTGTGTATCACTGACTAAATAAGGAAAACAGTTTATTAAATCAGTAAAAGAATTTACAGTGTTTACCTAATCTATGAATGCTCAGGAAAAAAAAAATAAAGGCAAAAAATAAAAGCTGATTCATGCTCCTGTGATGTCACTGTTAAAATCAAAATACTAATCTGGTTATACGAGAAACTTGGGAGAAATATTTGAAAGAGGAATTAAAATTAGAACATCTTAAACTTACAATTAAAGGCATTTTCTTTCCCTCCCTCTACAAATTTGTAATAACAACAGGCAGTTTCAGGGGTTAATGACATTCTTGGAAGCTGACGGAGAGGGAAGCTCCCAGCATGGAAAAAATTGTTTTCAAGCCATGAGGAATCAAGTGCCACCTGAAACTTACACATTTTCCATCTCTGCGTCTGTGATATGTACATAAGACTCGGGTTCTCAATGATCCTGAGTTCCAGTCTGGAGAACAGTCTGAAAGAACTGGGGGTCACAACAACAGTCAAAATAGAGGGATAGTCAAGACCCATGAAGCCTGGATGCTCAGACCAGGAGGCAAAAAACGGAACAGACATTGCTTTTGAAAATCTAACTGTTTTCTGTTTGAGGTATTTCCTCAAAGCAATGCTGTTCCAACAAATGCCCAGAAAAAAAAAATTCAGAGAATTTCCAAATCCTCTCACGGGCCAGATTTTCTGTCAATTATTATTAAAAATATACAGGGATATGCATAGAAAAAACATAGCCATACCAAGAGTTATACCAACTTTGTTACACGGGGAAGGATGGATTTTTTACAGTAAAGTGTATTTTCATGATGTTAAAGCTAATTATATTTCCTTTTCTCACTGCAAATATTATCAATTAGTTTATTTATTCAATAGCCACTAAATGCATGCACTCACAAGATACAACTGAGCATATACTAATTACTGTAATAATCATTATGACTTGAATACAGCAAAGCACTTAAGCACATTTGGTCTCAATGTTTTAAATGCTTAATGCACTTAAGGGCTTTGCTTAAATAAAGTTCTAGTAGATTCATACACTTTATTTTTTATGAAACTGTCGTAGAATTAGATTGGAGACACAGTATGCTCTCAAGTGGCTAAGAAACATCCCTCTTTCCAACAAACCTACAAGCTCCCTAGTCCTATTATGGACACTTCAAATTCTAAATTACCTGTTGGTCTGAAATAACAAAACAGAATAGAGTTTGTTCCAAAATTCACTGCTAGCAATATATGAGGAAAAAAGAAAAGAAACTTCAGATCACTATTTCATGGGGAACACAGAAGAGTAAGACAAAAAGAAAGAGGTTGCCGTGATATTTTTCTCTTGTGTTCATTTTAAGACTATAAAAGTTTAAAAAAAAAGTAGGGTAAGGTAATGTGGTTTGCATCTGATAGAGAATGTTGAAATTTTCGAAAACAAAAGCACCCTTCCATGTTTCACTTTGGAGGTGGTTTAGATATTCAGGGTCATGGCAGAGGACCTCAAATGACGATCATTAACTGTTCCACCCTCATCTAGTGCTCCACACTCAAATGGGGCTTACCCTGTGAATGTGTACTTGTTCCTTGCAGTGCAGAGTTAACAGATTAGCCAGACTGGCTGAAAATGGCTTGAAATAACCCATTGCCTTTCAGCATGCTGTGAATCCACACTCAGTCAGCTACTGTGTGTCACTGGAGGAGGCAGAGCTTAAAGTATAGCAGGAGGTAGCTTGTTCAGTTGTTCCCTAGCCTCTGATGGAGGTGTTCAGGGAGCTGTCAGAGGAATGTCATCCAGAGTAAGACACAGCCCTAACTACATGAGGAAACAATATCCATAATTGTAACGTCGTCAGTAAAGATACAAAAGCCAATGCTGGCATATTGGCCATTGGTGAAAAGCAATCATAGCAGCATTAAAATGTTAGAAAACACACTTAAACTATATGATTAAGCCAGATATACAAAGCTGTTTAAGGGATATTTTGATTATCTGGAGGACCTTACTTTTTTGAGATCTCCTCTCACTTCTAGCTGTTGCTACCTCCTGATGACCTCATTGCTGTGGAATTGCAGCCTTTCTTTAGCCCTCCTTTTTGGATGATGGCAGCAAAAAAATAGGCAGGCTTATGCATGTTTGTCTCTATTTCACACATTCAGTGGGATCCTCAGGGTACCTGCCTTGGCCCTAGTTGTGCATTGGCTGCAAAATCAATGCTGTATTTGCAGCAGCAATGGGTCCTGAACGAAGTTCAAGCCAGAGGAAGCCCTCACAATATGTAAAGATTTGTAAATTCAGACAGCTTTTTTTCTTCTTTTCTTTTCTTTTCTTT